TCGGTTAAAGTGAACACGCTTTATTTGAACAATCGGTTAAAGTGAACACGCTTTATTTGAACAATCGGTTAAAGTGAACACGCTTTATTTGAACAATCGGTTAAAGTGAACGATATTTTGTGGTCCTCATTGAAACGCTATTTGTTTACATAAAAAAATAGTGGATAAAATGAACCGGTTCCATGGGGAAATCGGATAAAGTGAATGCCCAAAATGAGTAAAAGCGGAGAATGGACCGACCGTGTCACTGTCGCCATGCTGTGAAAATAGAATTCTTTGCCTCTGGCATCGACAGACAATCCCAGCTCGGCTTTGGCGACGGCAATCATGTTGATGTGATCATTAACATAGCACCCAAAGAAAGTCTTAACTTTCAAGAGTTTATTTTTCCGCAATGTCAGTTAGGTTTTGACTGGTTTCAAAACGTGCTTATTTTATTTTCCTTAGGCTGAAGGGCTAGTAGAACTCAAATGGCCACTGGATTGGAAAAATAAAAGTAAAGTACAGTATTATGTCTACGGGGGCTCTCGTGGCCTAGAGTTTAAGGTGTTGGCCTCTCTTTCAAAGGTCCCGGGTTCGAATCCGGGTAGCGACGGAAAAAGTTTCTTCTCTAAAATTGTCTCCTTTCACCTCATTTCCTTCTGTCTAGCAATATTCTGTCGTCTGCTTTTGTCTCCACTTCCTTCCCCCCTCCCCTCACCTCCTTTGCCCCCTCCTCTAGGCTCTTGCCTCTTTCTGCAGCCATTCCACTGCTTTTCCTTGGCTCCTCCTTGCTGCAGTCTTTCAGCCACACCCCTGATCTTCTGTAAGGAAAGATCTACACCTGGCCTTCTCGGATAAGAGCGGCAGGTCTCGTGTGCAAGTTGGGCACGTATAAGGTCCCTCGGTGGTCCAAAATCGATAAGAGTAGGCTTCGGCCGCCACCCGGGAAAAAATTCAAAATTCCCTACCAACTGAAAAATGTTAGGTGTGTCCGGCGCGCTCATATGACCTGATGCAGTTGCAAGCGGCGTAAAACACTTACCAAACATTTGATCTTCCCCAGGCTTGTAATGAAATGGGCCAATCGTGGTTCGAGTCGGGCGTCAGTGAGAATGCTGTGTCGGGTCACATCCAGTTTGTGGTTCCGGGAGACACATCTTGCTTTGCGGTAAGTAACAACTCATTTCAGTACTTTCTTCTGCTTTGTCTTTTTCTTCTTCTTCTCGTCTTTCTCCTCCCCCCGTCTCCTCCTCCTCCTCCTCTTCCTTCCTTCTCCTTCTCCTTTTTTTTGGGATGAAATTTCAAAATTTTTGAAATTTGAA